CCCTACAAGAGATCCTGAAGGAAGCACTAAACATGGAAAGGAACAACCAGACCAGCCACTGCAAAAACACACCAAAATGTAAAGACCATAGATGCTAGGAAGAAACTGCATCAACTAATGAGCAAAATAACCAGCTAACATCATAATGACGCCATCAAATTCACACATAACAATATTAACCTTAAATGTAAATGGCCTAAATGCCCCAATTAAAAGACACAGACTGGCAAATTGGATAAAGAGTCAAGACCCATCAGTATGCTGTATTCAGGAGACCCACCTCACATGCAGAGACACACATAGGCTCAAAATAAAGAGATGGAGGAAGATCTCCCAAGCAAATGGAAAACAAAAAAAAAGCAGGGGTTGCAATCCTACTCTCTGATAAAACAGACTTTAAACCAACAAAGATCAAAAGAGACAAAGAAGGCCATTCCATAACAGTAAAGGGATCAGTTCAACAAGAAGAGCTAACTATTGTAAATATATAAGCACCCAATACAGGAGCACCCACATTCATAAAGCAAGTCCTTAGAGATTTACAAAGAGACTTAGACTCCTACACAATAATAATGGGAGAGTTTAACACCCCACAGTCAACATTAGATCAATGAGACAGAAAGTTGACAAGGATATCCAGGAATTGAACTCAACTCTGGACCAAGTGCACCTAATAGACATCTACAGAACTCTCCACCCCAAATCAACAGAATATACATCAGCACCACATCGCACTTATTCCAAAATTGACCACATAGTTGGAAGTAAAACACTCCTCAGCAAATGTAAAACAACAGAAATTATAACAAACTGTTGCTCAGACCACAGTGCAATCGAACTAGAACTCAGGATTAAGAAACTCACTCAAAACCGCTCAACTACATGGAAACTGAACAACCTACTCCTGAATGAATACTGGTTACAAAACGAAATGAAGGCAGAAATAAAGATGTTCCTCGAAACCAATGAGAACAAAGACACAATGTACCAGAATCTCTGGAAAACATTTAAAGCAGTGTGTAGAGGGAAATTTATAGCACTAAATGCCCACAAGAGAAAGCAGGAAAGATCTAAAATCAACACCCTAACATAACAATTAAAAGAACTAGAGAAGCAAGAGCAAGCACATTCAAAAGCTAGCAGAAGGCAAGAAATAACTAAGATGAGAGCAGAACTGAAGGAGATAGAGACACAAAAAAACCTTCAAAAATCAATGAATCCAGGAGCTGGTTTTTTGAAAATATCAACAAAATAGATAGACTGCTAGCAAGATTAATAAAGAAGAAAAAGAGAAGAATCAGTAGACCCAATAAAAAAAATGATAAAGGGGATATCACCATGAATCCCATAGAAATACAAGCTACCATCAGAGAATACTATAAACACCTCTACCCAAATAAACTAGAAAATCTAGAAGAAATGGACAAATTTCTGGACACATACACCCTCCCAAGACTAAACCAGGAAGAAGCTGAATCCCTGTATAGACCAATAACAGGCTCTGAAATTGAGGCAATAATTAATAGTCTACCAACCAAAAAAAGTCCAGGACCAGATGGATTCACAGCCAAATTCTACCAGAGTTACAGGGAGGAGCTGGTACCATTCCTTCTGAAAGGATTCCAATCAATAGAAAAAGAGGGAATCCTCCCTAACTCATTTTATCAGGCCAGCATCATCCTGAAACCAAAGCCTGGCAGAGACACTACAAAAAAAAGAGAATTTTAGAACAATATCCCTGATGAACATCCATGTGAAAATCCTCAATAAAATACTGGCAAACCGAATCCAGCAGCACATTAAAAAGCTTATCCACCATGACTAAGTGGGCTTCATCCCTGGGATGCAAGGCTGGTTCAACATACACAAATCAATAAACATAATCCAGCATATAAACTGAACCAAAGACAAAAACCACATGATTATCTCAATAGATGCAGAAAAGACCTTTGACAAAATTCAACAACGCTTCATGCTAAAAACTCTCAATAAATTCGGTGTTGATGGGACATATCTCAAAATAATAAGAGCTATTTATAACAAACCCACAGCCAATATCATACTGAATGGGCAAAAACTGCAAGCATTCCCTTTGAAAACTGGCACAAGCCAGGGATGCCCTCTCTCACCACTCCTATTCAACATAGTGTTGGAAGTTCTGGCAGGGGCAATCAGGCAGGAGAAAGAAATAAAGGGTATTCAATTAGGAAAAGAAGGAGTCAAATTGTCTCTGTTTGCAGATGACATGATTGCATATTTAGAAAACCCCATCGTCTCAACCCATAATCTCCTTAAGCTGATAAGCAACTTCAGCAAAGTCTCAGGATACAAAATCAATGTGCAAAAATCACAAGCATTCTTATACATGCATAAAAGACAAACAGAGAGCCAAATCATGACTACCATTCACAATTGCTTCAAAGAGAATAAAATACCTAGGAATCCAACTTACAAGGGATGTGAAGGACCTCTTCAAGGAGAACTACAAACCACTGCTCAATGAAATACAAGAGAACACAAACAAATGGAAGAACATTCCATGCTCACGGACAGGAAGAATCAATATCGTGAAAATGGCCATACTGCCCAAGGTAATTTATAGATTCAACGCCATCCCCATCAAGCCACCAATGACTTTCTTCACAGAATTGGAAAAAACTACTTTAAAGTGCGTATGGAACCAAAAAAGAGCCCGCATTGCCAAGACAATCCTAAGTCAAAAGAACAAAGCTGGAGGCATCATGCTACCTGACTTCAAACTATACTACAAGGCTACAGTAACCAGAACAGCATGGTACTGGTACCAAAACAGAGATATAGACCAATGGAACAGAACAGAGCCCTCAGAAATAATACCACACATCTACAACCATCTTTGACAAACCTGACAACAACAAGAAATGGGGAAAGGATTCCCTATTTAATAAATGGTGCTGGGAAAATTGGCTAGCCATATGTAGAAGGCTGAAACTGGATCCCTGCCTCACACTTTATACAAAAATTAATTCAAGATGGATTAAAGACTTAAATGTTAGACCTAAAACCATAAAAACCCTAGAAGAGAACCTAGGCAATACTATTCAGGACATAGGCATGGGCAAGGACTTCATGTCTAAAACACCAAAAGTAATGGCAGCAAAAGCCAAAATTGACAAATGGGATCTCATTAAACTAAAGAGTTTCTGCACAGCAAAATAAACTACCATCAGAGTGAACAAGCAACCTACAGAATGGGAGAAAATTTTTGCAATCTACTCATCTGACAAAGGGCTAATATCCAGAATCCACAAAGAACTTAAACAAATTTACAAGGAAAAAAACAAACGACCCCATCAAAAAGTGGGTGAAGGATATGATCAGACACTTCTCAAAAGAAGACATTTATGCAGCCAACAGACACATGAAAAAATGCTCATCATCACTGCCCAGCAGAGAAATGCAAATCAAAACCACAATGAGATACCGTCTCACACCAGTTATAATGGTGATCATTAAAAAGTCAGGAAACAACAGGTGCTAGAGAGGATGTGGAGAAATAGGAACACTTTTACACTGTTGGTGGGATTGTAAACTAGTTCAACCATTGTGGAAGACAGTGTGGCGATTCCTCAAGGATCTAGAATTAGAAATATCATTTGACCCAGCCATCCCATTACTGGGTATATACCCAAAGGATTATAAATCATGCTGCTATAAAGACACATGCACACATATGTTTCTTGTGGCACTATTGACAATAGCAAAGACTTTGAACCAACCCAAATGTCCATCAATGATAGACTGGATTAAGAAAATGTGGCACATATATACCATGGAATACTATGCAGCCATAAAAAAGGATGAGTTCATGTCCTTTGTAGGGACATGGATGAAGCTGGAAACCATCATTCTCAGCAAACTATCGCAAGGACAGAAAACCAAACACTGCATGCTCTCACTCATAGATGGAAATTGAACAATGAGAACACCTGGACACAGGAAAGGGAACATGACACACCGGGGCCTGTTGTGAGGTGGGGGGGAGGGGGGAGGGAGGGATAGCATTACGAGATATACCTAATGTAAATGACGAGTTAGTGGGTGAAGCACACCAACATGACACATGTATACATATGTAACAAACCTGCATGTTGTGCACATGTACCCTAGAACTTAAAGTATAAAATAATAATAATAATAATAATAATAATAATAAATATATACCATCGGCATACCCTGATCAAGGTCTGTTTAAGTATCTGAAATGTCAAATTATCAAGAAGCTGTTTTTAGTCATGTCATTATAGATAGGGATAGAAATCTTCTAGTGATCTGTGTTAAGAAAGATTTTTTGAGCCACATCCGGGTTCAGCAGAAGCTGGCTGATCGATTACCAATGTTTTCCACATCCACACGCTTGCCGGATAGTTTCCTTTTCTTTTCTAGAACATCCTCACATTAACTCCTTCCTGGTTCTCTACATGCATGCTTCTCAAGCTTTAACATGGATATGAAACACTTGCTAAGATGCAGATTCTGATGCAGTAGGTAGGGGTAGAGCCCATGATTCTGCATTTCTGAGAAGCTCCCAGGTGATGCTCATGCTGGTCCCCAGAACTTTCAAGTCGCCTTTTTTAACATTATGACAATTTCCCTTGTGAATTACCCAGAAATATTATTACTTTTTCCTTTTTTCTTACTGCTGGCCAGGCAGAGAAGAAAGAAAATAGCCACTGCTGTCAGGTCTTAATAATCAGAAAAAAATTAAAATTTAATATAAAAGATTCCTAAAACATTCTATGATCTTCAGTGTGATATATCTCTATATTTATATGTGTGTATACATATATATATTCATAAAGTCTGATTTATCATGCTTTTATTGGTAAAAAGTTTCTCTCAACCACTCTTTCTCGGTCCTAGACTACAAAAATGATTGATTTTTTCCTTAAAATGACCCTGAAGTTCTGCAAGATCCTAAACTCCCTGCTAAATTATCAAATAACTCATTTTCACTACAGTTGCATAATTAATTTTACTTTATTGCAGTCTAATTTTTTAAAATGTTATCCCAAACATGATGTACATGGTAATTCTCAGTTACTTCAAATACACTTCACTCAACAATGGAAATGGCATGAAAGTGAGGGATACTTATTCATTTTTATGAAGATTATTACATAAAACGAGCATATGTGAAAAAAATCAGAAGATACAGACACTGACAAGTTAATCAGTTTATATCTTTGCACATTATCAGTTGTGAAAAATCCCAAGATACAAAGCTTTTTTAATCATAGTATCTCTCAGAGAGGGTGTGGGCCTTGTATCTTGCACCAAAGCACATTTTCCTCATGGAAAAATTTCCGAACTGAGTCTTCCTCTTCTTTTAAGTTTTATTTGATGTCAGTCACAAGATCAGAAGGATCATGAGGTGTGTCCCTGTCAATGACCAGCTTTTCAGTTCTATGTAGAGTCAATGGGCCCACTTTCTACTCCAGGTCCCTCAATACTTGAAAATTCTGTGTCAATAAGCGGTTTCAGAAATTTCTCAACCTTGGTTAATCTTTGTTTCAGTTTCTGCTGCATGGACTCATACTCAGCCAAGATTCGGGCAAACCTTGTTTGCAGGAGGTCTACAGACCCCTCCATTCGAGTAACTTTCTCTTCAAGATCTTTAGGATCACTGCCAGCATTTGCAATGTTTAGATCCAGTAGACCATCTTTCATTAAAATCTGCTTCCCTTTCTCTTCCAGCATAGTTTTGGCATCTGGATACTCAGTTAGAGCTTCCATGAGGTCATCTTTTGAGAGACAGAACAGGTCTGAGTAGCCAATACTTTTAATATTGGCAGTTCTTCGATTGCCGGCTTTGCTCCCTTTAATATTAAGAATGCTGATCTCACCAAAGTAGCTGCCATCGCTCAATACTACAAACTGAGTGACTCCATCATCTGCCACCACAGCGAGTTTGCCTTCCTTGATAATGTACATCTCTCGTCCAATATCCCCTTTCTTGCAAATATAATCTCCAGGACTGTAGACTTGGGGTTGCAATTTCAAGACCAACTCCACCAACAGACCAGCTTCACAATCAGCAAAAATGCGTACCTTTTTTAATGTGTCTAAGTGAACATTGATGGCAATTTCTGCTCTTAGTTTATCAGGTAGATACTTTAAGACTTCTTTCTCATCAACTGTTTTTTTGTTGGTCCACAGGTAGTCAAACCATTTAATAACCCTCTTTTCCATATCTTTGCTTACATTTCGAAAATGCATATATTGCTTGATAGCATCAATTCTTGCTTGAAATTCTGCTCTGGCCGCATTCATGTTGGAAATCATAGAACCTATGTTACCAACGATGGTAGCAAAAATTAGCACTCCAATTAGGAAATCAACCACCACAAAGACATACTCAGAATCCCTCACAGGAGGGGGTGTTTCACCAATGGTAGTCAAAGTCAGTGTAGACCAGTAAAGGCTGTATACGTATTTTCTAGCCAAACGGCCAAATTCAGGATCATTAGTATCAGGGTAGACCCATGTATCATTTCCAAATCCAATAGCTTTAGAAATAGAGTAGTACACACATGCATTCCAGTGGATAATGATGACAATGTACATAACAAGGTTGGAAATCCTGAAGATGTTTGGATAGTTTGTCCTTGTTTCTGTTCTCTGGAAGAACTCAAACATACGAGAGATTCGTAATAACCTGTTTAATCTAATTTCTGGATAGTTCCACCCTAACTTAAAATATAGCAAATCAGTTGGTATCAGTGACAGAACATCAAGTTTAAATTGCAAGTTGGATTTATATTTATTTATGAGTTTAAGTTCTTCCTTTACCAGCAGTCCTTGTTCTAGGTAACCTAAAATAAAAAATAAAATAAATTCAGTGTTTCTCCTTTTTATGTAATTGTGAATTTTTGTGAAGTAACTGTCAATTAACTTTGTTGAGGTCAAAAGAAAAATTCATTTTCAGTAAATATGACTTTAACAATGTAATAAAATACAAATATCAATCAACCTATGGCTGTAGAAAATATTCTGCTGCAGAAATAAAAGGTAAAATTTTGGCCAGACAGCTCACATCTGTAATCCCAGTACTTTAGGAGGCTGAGACTCAATATCACTTGAGCCTGGGAGTTCGAGGCTGCAGTGACCCATGATAGCACTACTGTATTCCAGCCTGGGCAACAGTGAGACCCTGTCTCACAAAAAAAAAAAAAAAAAAAAAAAAAAATTAAAATTTTGTAAGTGCAAAAGTGAAAGTGTACAAATCTCTCAAGGTCTATCATCTCCATCCAGGTAAAGCCATTCCTTTTATGAGTAGTGTTCTTGTGATATTGTGAGATAAATACATATATATATATATGTATATATATAAAAATACATATACACACACACATATATATATATGGTCCCTGGCACAGGACTCTTAAAACTCTTGTAAGCAATATGGTTACTAAGTGATTTTTTTTTTTTTTTTTTTTTAGTCAGAGTCACCCAGGCTGGAGTGCAGTGGCGCAATCTCGTCTTGCTGCAACCTCTGCCTCCCGGGTTCAAGCAATTCTTCTGCCTCAGCCTCCTGAGTAGCTAGGACTACAGGCACGTGCCACCACATCCAGCTAATTTTTGTACTTTAGTAGAGACAGGGTTTCACCATATTGGCCAGGCTGGTCTCGATCTCCTGACCTCATGATCCACCGGCCTTGGACTCCCAAAGTGCTGGGATTACAGGTGTGAGCCACTGAGCCCGGCCCTAAGTCCATCTTTTGTTATGGTATTTGGTTCTTGACCCCAGTTCCTGAAACAGTTATTTATCCCTTGATGTTTCCTGGGTGATAGAAATGTCTTTTGTTCTGGCCAGGTGCAGTGGCTCACACCTATAATCCCAGCGCTTTGGAAGGCTGAGGCAGGAGGATCCCTTGAGTGCAGGAGTTCGAGACCAGCCTAAGTCTCTATGATATTATAAGAAAGAGAGAGAGAGAGAGAGAGAGAGAGAGAGAGAGAGAGAGAGAGAGAAAGAAAGAAAGAAAGAAAGAAAGAAAGAAAGAAAGAAAGAAAGAAAGAAAGAGGGGAGAGGGGAGGGGAGGAAGGAAGGAAGGAAAAGAAGGAAGGAAGGAAGGAAGGAAGGAAGGAAGGAAGGAAGGAAGGAAGGAAGGAGGAAGGAAGGAAAAGGTGAGGTCCAGAAAGAAAGAAAGAAAGAAAGAAAGAAGAAAGGGAGGGAGGGAGGGAAGGAAGGAAGGAAGGGGAAGGGGAAGGAAGGAAGGAAGGAAGGAAGGAAGGAAAAGGGTGAGGTCCAGGAAAGAAAGAAAGAAAGAAAGAAAGAAAGAAAGAAAAAAAAAAAGAAAGAAAGAAAGAGAAAAAGAAAGAAAGAAAGAAAGAAAGAAAGAAAGAAAGAAAGAAAGAAAGAAAGAAAGAAAGAAGGAAGGAAGGAAGGAAAAGGCGAGGTCCAGAAAGAAAGAAAGAAAGAAAGAAAGAAAGAAAGAAAGAAAGAAAGAAAGAAAGAAAGAAAGAAAGAAAGAGAGAGAGAAAGAAAGGAGGGAAGGAGGGAAGGAAGGAAAAGGTGAGGTCCAAGATGGGGCTGGTCACCAGAAAGACTAAGTTATGTTTAGAAGCTTGGAACTTTTACCCCAACCTCCTTCATCCAGGAAAGGGAGAAGCACTGGAGACTGTTAATAGTCCATCATGCCTCCATGGTGAAGCCTCTATAAAAATCCCTGAACTATGGGGTTTGGAGCATTATCAGGTTGGTGAACACATCTACGAACTAGGAGGGTGCCACACCCCAGTTCCATGGGGACAAAAGCCCCTGTTCTCATGACTCTTCCCAACTTTGCCCTATGTATCTCTTCATCTGGCTCTTCCTCGGTATCCAGTATCATATCCTTTATTAATAAAATAAAGCAGTAAATGTAAGTGTTTTCCTAAGGTCTGTAAGTTGTGCTAGAAAATTACTGGACCCACGAGGGAGCTGTGGGAACCCCAATATATAGTTGGTCAGTCAGAAGCACAAGCCACAACCTGAGACTTACGATTGGCATCTGAAGTGGGGGATCATCTTGGGAGACTGAGCCCTTAACCTGTGAGGCCTATTCTAACTCCATGAGTGTGCGAATTCAGTTAAATTTTAACCCAGCTGGTGTTACAGAATTGCTTGGTGTGTAGAGGAAACACCGCATACATATTGGAGACCAGAACTGTATTGTATTGAGAGTGTAGTAATATGCAATGAGTTGTTGTTTTTTTCCCCACCATACACAGTTCGTGGAAGGTTTCCTGAACACGCTAGCGATGTACCTAATAGCCCATGCCACTGCCTTGTCAGAATCCCAGCTCTACCCTGGATGCTTGGGTACTTGCCCTGTGCTGTCTATTTTGCATATTCTTGCCTTACCCCTTCAATGTGAAGCATAAGTGTCCCTTGAGGCTGCATTTTCATCTGTCATTCTTGCTCCCTTAGACACTTGGGATCTTCCCTCCTATGCTGTTACCATGGGCCTTGTGTGTTTTAAACCTAGCATTTCAGTCATCTGATACATTACACTAGGAAAGGGATTTGCTCCTTCTCCTAAACTGACTACCAAAGTTACAAATATGACAGAGCGAGTGGAGCATTGTTCCAGGATTCTAGTATTTAGAGAATGTTCTATTTTACATAATGATTCTTTAAAGGTTATAGTCTGTGTATACTGGTTACATTTGCGAGTGAAGAGTGGTGTAGAAACAATCAGCTTCTACCTACTTAACAGAAATACTTCAGAAGCTATCCCCTCTGGTCAATAATATCTCATCATAAACCACAAAGCTGAGCTAAATGCATTTTTCCTCCTTCTTATAAAATTTTGAATATGACTCTGCTGAGGACAACGACATTTTTCCCCATGACTCTTTAAATTATCTCCCTGTTAGGTAGCAATTTCTCTTCCCCCTATAACTGGCAGAATATTTCTGCTCTCTCTGTTCCTCTCGTCTGGCACAAAACCAATGAACAAGATAATGGAGGAAAGCCGCATCTACTTGTCAAAAGGTTGCCTGGTAACTTCCTCTGAATCAGCTGGAGTCATCTAAGCCTGTGAGTTTATACATTGTGACTCTTGCTTTCACCTGTGCCTTTTTCTCTAGAATAGATTTTTGTGGGTTTACTTTGAAGAATACTTGGATTAGGAAATGTCAAATTACAATGCTAGAGATAAAAGCATAAAATTTTAAAATATTCAAAACTGAACATATTTACCTGTCCTTGTTCGTACAAACATATCAATTAAATAGACTATGTCTGATACGTAATCTAAAATGAGCCAATATTCTAGGTAATCAGATTGAAGTTCATCAAAACATGCTCTGTAAAAAAAGAAATACCTGTATAAATAAAAAAGAAATGTGGGCCAATTTAAGTAAAAGTTCTCGTTGTATATTTTCTTTATCATGGTGAGAAGCACAGCACACTCAGTCTAGGAGAGGTCCTTAGAGTCCTTTAATCAACCATGGCTTTCCCAAAACTTTCCCTGAGTGGTTGGATTTTGATCCTCACACTTCTGAATTCTAACATCCTTTCCATGATGCTAGTCAGCTTTGTAAAATCATCCAATAAGAATAAGTGGGTTGAAGGGTACAAGTATACAGTAAGACAGAAGGAATAAATCCAATGTTTGATTAACAGACTGTATTTAACAAAAACGTATTGAACTTGGGTGATGGACACCCTAAATACCCTTTGTTATATACAAGTAACAAAATTTCACACGTACCCCATAAATTTGTGCAAAAAAAATCTTTAAATAAATTTAAAAAATAAAAGGCCTAAAACTAAAATCAAAATATGTTGGGTGAAACACATTGATCACTTGGTTCATATTGACTATCTGTACCCAAAATGCTTTAGGAAATTGTGCTTGGCCTTGGATGAGGGAGATGTTTACCATGTAAAAGACACTAAATCCTTGACCTTTATCCACTATTGGCAACATTTTTTTCTCATAGGCCAAAGAAAATAGTTTCTCCCGATGTTCTAATTAAGTTATTATACAACCAAAAGTTTACAAGTCTTCCCCTCCAACAACAGATACTGGGGTCTATTTGAGAGTGACAGGTGGGAGAAGGGAGAGAAGCAGAAAAAATAACTATTTGGTACTAGGCTTAATACCTGGGCGAGAAAATAATCTGTGCACCAAACTCCTGTGACATGAGTTTACCTATATAACAAGCCTGCACATATACCCCCGAACCTAAAATGGAAGGTAAAAAAATTAAAAAAGAAAAGTCTTCCCCTGACCCCTCCATGCATCCCAGTACTGGAGACCCAGTTATACTGAGAACTGAAGCACCTCCTCCTGATTCCAGGAAAACACACTGAGTATAATCTAGCCTCTCTTTACCACCTGCAGTAGAGAAAGGAGGTGTGTCCTAAAAGGCTCTAAGTCAAATTGTTTAGTCAGTGAACTTGGAAATTACAAATGGGGTGAGATCCACAAAAAAAAAAAAAAAAAAAAAAAATTATAGACACCTGGCAATAACCATTGTCCAGTTGTACATAACAGGTAAGGTGATGCAAAACAGCCAGTTGTAATATGTGTTTCCCGAAGGATCAATAACCACAACTTCTTTCTTCTCCCTAGCAGCAATTAGAAATAAAGGGGATAGTTACCAAGATCCAAGAACATTTTTATTTACCATATTAAACATCATTATGCCCATCAACCACAATTAATGAAATGGAAGTAAGCTGGAGAAGCGCACTCTGCAGTGGGAAGATTAGCATGGAATAAGAGCATTAGTCATAAGAAAGTGGTTAGTGAGGGGTGGATAAATAACGAAATGACCAGTCTTATATTAAAGCATACATTAGGTTTTACTAAAGCCCTGGTTTCACTGCGATACTGCAGTCAGTTGTATACTTCAGCCACTGAGAGGGAATAGATCCGAGGCCCCCAACACCCAGGCTGTGGGCCAGTACTGGTCTGTGGTCTGTTAGGAAGCCGGTGGGCCACACAGCAGGAGGTGAGCTGCGGGGCAAGGGAGCATTACCGCCTGAGCTCCGTCTCCCGTCAGATCAGCAATGGCATTAGGTTCTCATAGGAGCACAAACCTTATTGTGATCTGCGCGTGCAAGGAATCTAGGTTGCACACTCCTTATAAGAATGTAATCAAAATAAAAATTAAATTTTTATTTCAGCTTTTAAAATGATGGTAGGATCCTAGAAACCTAATCCTCCTTGGAACCTAAATATTTCTCAGCGATAAGTTATCTTCACTAATGCTTAGGGAAGTGAATTAACCATAGAGAATTAAGAATAATGCTACCGTTGCTAATTTGAGGGAAATTAGAAAAAGTTTTAATTCACTTCCGATAATTTATGTTAAATGTTTATTTTTCAATGTTTAAAGACATTTAGTCTTTACACAGGGCTCTTTACTGTAAAGTTTCTTTCTACTTTGTATTATGGAAAACCGTCCCTGCATCTAAAACCCATCACAATTTCATTCTATTTCAATGCCAGTAAAAGTGCTTACTCTTCTTTCTTATCTTTGCTTTGCTCCTCTTTTTTTTTCTTCTCTTTGTCCTTTTTCTTCTTTTTCTTCTCTAGGTCCTTTTTATTTTCGTTTTTATCATCTGACTTGCTGAAAAAGTTAAGCAAGTACTATTAAAATACAGAAATGTTATGGGCAGAAAAATGTGGGGTAATTCTTGCCAAAGTCTTACCTCTTCTTTGCTTTTTTCTTTTTCTTTTTTTCTTCTGGTTCTCTAAAGAGAAAAATAATATATCTGTCACATAATCACAGTCTTCCACTCTGATTTACTTTCTTTTTCATCAAGCAAATATCTCAGCCTTGCATTCAAAGACCTGCTCCAGTGCTCAAAACCCATCTGGTCTCTTGCTGGAGATTTCTACCAAAAAAAGGGGAGGGACAATTATCCAGATAATAAAAACTTCTAAGCTAATAGATGTGGGAAGTAGAAACAAATGGAGATGAATAAAGGCATAAAACCAAGGAGAAACATTTAAGAAACAACAGCCCCCCAAGAGTGTTCTTCCAAAGTGTTAATGTGTTAAAAATAATTTTTAAAATTTAAGCTTCTTGACATCATTTACATTTATCCTTGAATAAAATCATTGAGAATGTTAAGAAAATGCCATCAATTTTCTTTAGAGGGAATAACCCTGACTGAAGTCATTTTTCATGAGTAATCAACAAGCTGTCTGGTAATATGGTGGAATCTCAATTATTAGAATAATTTATCAGATTTAAGGCCATCTTTTTCTACATACAATTTCTTCTTGAGTGGAGATTGTGTAACTAGTGCCTCTTTCTATAATTAACTTTCTCTATCAGCAGGGGAATAGATTCTGAAGTCAGACAGACCTAGGGTTATAGCAGGCTGCCGTTGTCAGCTCAGATGTCTTAGGAAATTTCATTATCCGGACATGAATGAAAAGGCATCTCATTACCACTAGGATAGTCAGAGAAGGCTTTTAAAAGGAGGTAGGTCTAAAGCTAGGCCTCAAAGTATGACTAAGAGTTGGAGAAGTTGAGAAGAGAGAGGATATTAGAGCAGAAAAATTTCTAAGTGCAATGGACTTAATCTGGGTAAGAATGACCCAGCAGAAGTGGAAAGCCTCTGTTGAGAAGAAATGGAAGATAAGATTGACAAGTGAGGTGAGGCTTAACATCCAAGATGGTCACGTACAAACAGGGACAGAACCATAAAGTTGGATAAGGAAGAATTTACTGTTATGGGAGTACACTTCTATGAGTCAAGATTTGACAGCCTACCATGGATCCTGAAGGATGATGTCGACACACTACTCAAACGGCTCTTGGAAACCTGGAAAAGGTAATGGCCTATACAAAATGAAATAAACATTAACACCATGGCAGATGGTGGAGGAAGGTATCAAAAGACTCAGAAAAGTGGCATCTTCAGGTGGATACACTGGAAGATAGCCTACCAGCTAATTATGTTCCCAAAGAGAGCTCGAAGGATGCAAAAGTGATGTGGAATAGGCTGGTGAGAGGGGCATTAGTAGCTTTGAGAAGTTCAGTGGTGCTATCCTCTGTAGGCCAGGGCTGATGATGGGAAATGCCGTTACAGAACTGGGTTCTCTGAGAGCAACAGGGTTAATAAGATCCAGAAATAACTGAGACTAATGGTAGTGCTTACCCATCAGAAGTAAGGTTTCTTCAGTAATTATAATGAGCATTAAGGTGGGTATGGTAACAAAGGGGCTTAACCTATAGACAGCTATGGAGGAGGTTAATAGAACACAGTATTCCTAGACAGATGGGAAGACTGTTAGCTAGTTAGGGTATTATTTAATATATACAACCAAAACAAATCAGGAATGAATAATTAGGAGGTTGAGGGCAACTCATTCCATCAAAAAAATCAGAATCCTGGTAAGGGCACGGTGGCCCATGGCTATAATCCCAGCACTCTGGGAGGTCGAAGTGGGAGGATCACTCAAGCCCAGGAGTTTAAGACCAGCCTGGGCAACATAGCGAGACCCTATCTCAAAAAATGAATTGATTCCTTACAATTTAAATTTTTAAAAAAATCAGAATCCTTAGAAAAGTTCCAGATCTAAGCCAATACTTAGACATAAAACCACTGACTAGAGGAGAAGCCATGACCCATGAAGAAAAACTCTGCAACACTATGACAAATATATTCCAGTAATGATTTCCTCAGTCTTTGTCCTAAAGAACCTATGGCCATTACTTAGATCACTGTACTCTGGGGGAAAAAAAAGAATTCCTAGATACATCGAAGACTGGCACAGGATCCAAGTTGATGTTGACACCTAGGGATTGAAGCATCATTGTGGCCCCCTGTTAAACTTGAAGAGCATATGATGGACTGGTAATAATAGATTTCTGGATGAGATATGACTTATGGTGTTTCCACTGAATCCACAGAGCCACTACTATGTGATCATTTCTCCAGTTCCTAAATGTAAAAGTGAAATGTATGTAATTCTTGAATATAAAAGTGGAATGTATACAAGTTCCTGAATATAAAAGAGAAATGTATATAATTGTATAAAATCATGCATGGAGGAGTGGTGGTCTCTCTTAATTTCCCCATGTAATTTATCATCTGACTCCCATAAAAACTAAATAGATCCTAGTGGATGGCAGATAGACTATTGCAAAATCAACCAAGTAGTAGCCCCAATTGCAGCTACCGTGTCCTATGTGGAAAATAACAGAGACCCACTCTGTGATCATTTCTCCAGTTCCTAAATGTAAAGTGAAATGTACATAATTCCTGAATACAAAAGCGAAATGTAGATTAATGGTCATTGGCAGAACTCCCACCCCTACCCCACTAGTTCCTTGGCTTGTGAGGAAAGAAGGGTAAGATCAAGGAGAAGCCCTTAAGCTGCTTCCCACCTTCTGGCCAAAAGCAACATTGCATCCTGGGGAGAAAAAGAAATTCCATCCTTAAAGACCTAAAGGATGCAGGGGAAGTGATCCCTCTTCATTTCCCCACATAATTCATCATCTGACCACTGCAAAAACCAAATGGATCCTAATGGACAGCAGTAGATGACTGCAAAATCAACCAAGTGGTAGCCCCAATTGCAGCTGCTGTGTCATATGTGGAAAACCATGCATTCACTTGATACACACTGCATACCTAAGGTTCTGGGTCAGTCATGTGAATGTCATTTTTCACTACTATCAGGAAAGAGGATCAGACATAGTTCCTACTCACATGGGATGACAAACTGTACACATCTACACTCTTTTCCAAGGCTATATTAACTCTCTTTCCTACTGTCATGACAGTCTTGAGGGATCTGGATCATGTGAACATTTCTCAAAGCACCACATTAGTCCACTATGTCTGTATCAATGGCATTCTGTTAATCAGACCCTGAAATAGGATTACCTTCCCAAAGTGCTGGCATTACAGGTCTGAGCCACCATGCCTGGCCTTCAGTACCCTTCTTTATGTCATTTTCCATGGCTGGAAATTTCCATTCCTTTTCCACTATGTCATTTTCCACTCAGCACCTATTTATCAGCCCCCACCTGTGGCCATATGTGGGGTTCTTTAGAAGGAGCTGATACAGCATGTTGCATAGATGGGTCAGTTTAGAATGTGGATGCAAGCCAAAATGGGCTGTGTCTGCACCACAGCCTCACTTAGAGATGGTCTTGAAAGACAGTGTGAGGTTAATTTCCCCAATGGCACAGCTTCAAGCAGTATACAGTCATCTAGTTTGTATGGAAAAAGAAATAGTCCAAGCTGGGTGTGGTGGCTCATGCCTGTAATCCCAGCTCTTTAGGATGCTGAGGTGGGAGGATCACTTGAGGCCAACGAGTTGGAGACCAGCCTGGCCAACATGGCAAAACCCCACTAAAAATACAAAAGTTAGCCAGGCATGGTGGCACACACCTATAATCCCAGCTACTCGGGAGGCTGAGGCAGGAGGATCACTTAACTCCAGGAGATGGAGGTTGCAGTGAGTCGAGATTGCACCACTGCACTCCAGCATGGGGAACTGAGTGAGATCTTGTCTCAAAAAAATAAATAAATAAAGGAAAAAGAAATAGCCCAAATTAAGAATATACCATATACAAGTATATAAGAATATACAAGAATATACATGGGCAGTCACAAATGTCTTGACTGGTTGGTCAGGGACCTGGATGGAAAGATCAGGGAAAATATTTTGGGAGAAGAGGCAGACTGAATGGACATATTATGAGTGTGAGCACAAAGTCTGAAAAATCTTCGTTTTTGTTTGTTTGTTTTTTGCTCTTAGTAAACCTATCTGTTACAGAGACCAATGCTATGACTCCAAAACAGTGCTTTCTCTTGAGGAAAGTAATCAGTCACTTGATGGCAAGTTAATTAAATTGGACTCCTGACACCATGGAAGGGGCGTCAAATATATTGATAAGAACTGACATACATTATGGCTATTCATTTGCTTTTTTGCCACAGGGCTTTGACCAGTGCCATTACTTAGGGGCATATGAAGCATGATTACTAATATGAAATATTGCTTAACATCACTTTGGACCAAGGACTCGCTTTAAGGCAAAAAAAAAAAAAAAGCGGCATTGGATGCTAAGTATGAGATCCCATGGTCCTATCATATGCTGCACACCTTTTGTCAGCTACTGACAGGATAGTTAAGGAGTGATCTTTTGAAACCACAGCTGAGGTGTTATCATAGAGTTTATACTCTAGGAAGATAAGGTGCCATCCTCTAGGATACTGTATATATGCTAAAACAATGATCATTGTATGGTTCCTGTATAGAATGAATTGGTCTGGGAACTAAGGGGTCTAAGTAGGGGTGACAAATGTAGGAAAGGTGTGTTTCCCATTCTTGCAACTTAAGGATCTGTGGGTCTAGAGGCCCTGGCTTCCAGAGGGGTGATGCATCTGCCAGGGAATGCCAGAGTTCCATTAAACATTAAGCTACGGCTACTCCCCAGCCACTTTGGGCCCCTCATGCCAAGAAACCAACAGGCAAGGAAGAGAGTCACCACACTGGCAAAAGTTATTGACCTTGATCATCAGAAGTAGGCAGTGCTGCTGTTATACAATGCAGGGAGGGGAGATGTATTTGCACCTAGGTGGTCTTTTGTTATTTTCCAGCCCAGTTTTGGTGGTAAATGGGCAAGTACTGTAGCCATGACTCAAGAAGGGCATGGTGACCCAGGGCTCAAGTCCTTCAGGGATGAGTGTCTGTATTGTTCACACCAGCTAAGTCATCTAGACCAGCAGACCCTAGAATGAGTAGAAGCGGAGAGGGTGAAGAATTTCATTTGAGGCCTCAAAACCACCTGCAGCTGCCAGAGACCTTAGTTTAGTCCCATTAACTTTCCTCTTACAAGCTTTCTCAAGGAAAAAGAATAACCAGGATCCTGGAGTAGGTATTCCCACATGGGATGAATTTTCTATATAAACAAAATAGATCTGAGCAGCACACAGGTGGGCTGTACAGTGGTTACGCAGGTGGTGCACAAAATTCAGGCACTCATTCTCCACTTGCCAAGAGTGTTGGTTGCTGTCAGCTCAGTTTTTCCTCTCACTTGGCTGGCCTTGGCTGAAGGAAACCACCATGTTCAAGGTTATGCTCCATCTTCTAGGGCCAACCTTTTTCCAGTAACTGTTCATGGGTACAAAGGCCCAAGTCTATTACCTAAATAGGGACAACTCTAAAAGGTCATCCCTGCTCCAGGGATCCCCATTGAATCACATTGTACATCAGCTCTATTCTCTGAAGTTTGACTTCTCCCTCTCCCCAATACTGACTCCCAACTCCCTTCCAGATATTGTTCCCAATACCATTCCCAACAAACCTCTGCATACAAGCCTCCATCTCAGAAACTGTTTCCTGAGGAACTTCACCTAAGACACATTGGCTCAAACTGGAAAGTTTCCAGGAGTAATGTGTTTCACTTATTTTTCTCAGTCACTCTATTCACAAAGAAAGTCAACTGCATGAACACTATAGACATGATTTTTTCTACATGTATTCAAATAAATGAATGAATAAATACTACTTTTCAACAAAATGGTAGACTATCATTGCCATTGTATTAGATCATTTGCTTAATAAATATTTCCTCTATAACACATTCAGATATATTCCTACCATTTTTACTGGTTTTCTTTAAAACCATAGCTTTGGTTTTCTATTGTAAACATACTTACTGGTCCTTATTGCTGCTGTTGTTCACATTAAAAAGTGCAATGGCACCAGGCAGGTACTGCTCTCTGGGAAATGAAAAACATGCAGTGAAATCACAATAGTCACCATCTATATAATGTCCATGGTAAGCAAATGGTCGGAAAAAACAAATTATTTCTTGTTTCTACTCATTACTAAAGATGGTCTAGATGATATTTCAAAAACATTTTATGAAGCATAAGGCATAAAAGTGTATCCTGAGCCTCCATGAAGCATGACTTGCCAAATGCCAGTGTCTTGAACAAACATGATGATATGGTTTGCCTGTGTCCCCACCCAAATCTCATCTTGAATTATAGTTCCCATAATCCCCACATGCCATGAAAGGGACCCAGTGGGAAATAATTCAATCATAGGAGTGGGTGTTGCCTATGACATTCTCATGCTAGTTAGTAAGTCTCACAAGATCTGATGGTTTTATAAAGGGCAGTCCCCCTGCACATGCTCTCTTGCCTGCCACCATGTAAGACATGACTTTGCTCCTCCTTTACCTTATGCCATGATTGTGAGGCCTCCCCAGCCATGTGAAACTGTGAGTCCATTAAGCCTTTTTCTTTATAAATTACCCAGTCTCAGGTATTTCTTCATAACAGTATGAAAATGGACTATAATACACATGGTTAGTAAATGCATATCGGTCAAAGTTCATACCAAGAATTAGCTTAAGTGAACCAACCTCAATGCCAGTAACTCCCAACAAGAGACCTAAGATGGTCAGGGAAAATAAGATGAGGAGAAAAGATAAATAAAAACAATGGGAAGGCTGGAGGTAGTCAGTGGGAAGAAAAATAGGAAAGAGGGGAAAACAGGGGAGGAAAAAAGCAAAGAAAAACTAATTATGTAAAACAGGTGGAAACCCCAGCTCCATACCAACACCACACCACACCCCTTCTGCAATCTCAATTCCAGTATCTGAAGTTTTCACAACTTCTTTATTTCCTACTAAGGATTTTTTGCTTTTCTCTTCTAGCACCTCTCTCCAGTGCTCTATTTTCTAAAAGTAGGACCAAATGGGATGGAGCATTTTAGAAAATAACAGCCAACCCTCTCACATGTACTTGCTTCGGGACCCTGAAAGAAGGATCAGAGAGAAACAAGAAATCAGAGAGGACTGGGTTTCTTAAGGGACAGATCCCAGTGGGTCTCAGGGAAAATGAAGCAAGAGTGTTTACAACTTGGAACCCCATGGCCATAAATAATCACTGGGCAGTGGCAGTATTTCCCAAGAGATGGCATGGGTAGGAACAAAAATAACTCCTCCTGAGATCCCACATCTTGTCTAGATAGCAGAGGCATTTGACAAGCTTGCTCCTAAGAAGTAAAAGACCTTTTATCTAAACAACAGCTTACAAACCCATTTATGTCTAGTGTTTGATTATTGGAATGCTAAGCATGTGGGAGTTATTTCTATTCTACTGCTCAAGGTCATCGCCATGGTCTGATTGCAAAAATTCAAAACACTGCAACCTTAGGCATAAATGGTTAAAAACAGGCACCAAAGATGGATCATACTGCTCACCTCTGTGATGGTCCTCCCTTTCTGTGTGACTTATAACTAAAGGAACCCCTTGCATGATGGTTTTCATTCTCTGATTCTTCAGATATAGAGGCACTGTCATCATCCTCAGAAAAGGAGCTACAGTCCAGTAGGAGGCAGAGAGAGATGTGTTAATGTTTTCAACCACTGCGGAGGAGCAACATTCCTCACTAGAGGGACAATTGCCTCACCTCTTTTCCTTCCCTCCTAAACTAACACACATAACAATTTTTAGTGAGCATGAAGTTAGAACTATACAGAATACATAGAATTATATAAAATGTATGCATAATTCAGTAAAATGCATTTAACTAAGAAACTACTTTCTAGGTTTTCCACATTTCTATTGTTTGATGCATTGATTGATGTTAATATTTATCAAATAGCAAGTGTGATATCTGGGACTTAGATCATATTAAAAATTTGAGTGAACTAGTTTTCTAACTAATGTTTCTTCCCACTAAAAGTAAATTCAACCACATTCGTATACATTATATTCATTTATACGGTAAGCACTTTAAATTATACTTTTAAATCACATTGCTAGCATTTCATACTCTGAGTACCTTTCACATATATTTATGGCAATGTCATCTCTTTAGATTCAAAATGTCCCATGAGGAAAAGCCCTGCCAGTGACTAAAGAAATGTTTGGCATAGGTGCTTAATAGGTGCTTCCAAAAAAGTGACCACAGTAATATCTATGTTCAGGCCGGGCATGGTGGTTCACGCCTGTAATCCCAGCACTTTGGGAGGCTGAGGCAGGTGGATCACTTGAGGTCAGGAGTTCGAGACCAGCCTGACCAATATGGCAAAACCCTGTCTCTACTAAAAATACCAAAAAAATTAGCCGGGCATGGTGGTGCGCACCTGTAGTCCCAGCTACCTAGGAGGCTGAGGCAGGAGAATCGCTTGAAACCAGAAGGCAGAGGTTGCAGTGAGCTGAGATTGTGCCACCGCACTCCAGCCTGGGAAACAGAGTGAGACTCTGTCTCAAAATAAATAATAAATAAATAAATAAATAAGTCTGTGTTATTTGTTGGACAAGTTATGCTGTTCCAAAGTATGAATATGCTAAATTAAATACATTACAAAGTTCAAGGTTACAAATTATAAAGCTAAATTGAAATTAAACCTAGTTAAATTAAAGAACCGTGGCTAATATTAAAAATGCATGGGAAAATGTTTGGATTTACCTGCATGCTCCATTTTCCATCTTTCTTATTTCCTTTTCAATATCTGGTACAATCACATTGGGCATGTTTACAAAGGACTGTTGTGTATTGACAATATTTTTCTTCATGGTTAGTTTCATATCTGAGGAGAAAGAAGTCTTATTAGTGGGAAGGATATTTTTATATATTTACATATATAATCAAAAGTTTCACCCTATGTATTAGTCTGTTCTCATGCTGCTAATAAAGATGTACCTGAGACTGGGTAATTTATAAAGGAAAGAGGTTTAATAGACTCTTCCATGTGGCTGGGGAGGCCTCACAATCATGGCAGAAGGCAAAGGAGAAGCAAAGGCACATCTTACATGGCAGCAGGGAAGAGGACGTGTGCAGGGGAACTCCCCATTACAAAACCATCAGATCTCATGAGACTTATTCACTATCATGAGACTAGCATGGGAAAAATCCACTCCCATGATTCAACTACCTCCCACTGAGTTCCTCCCATGACACAGGGATTATGGGAGCCGCAGTTCAAGATGAAGTTCGGGTGTCCCAAACCGTATCAACCCTACCATTTTCCTAAGACTATAAATACTGTCTATTTGCAGTTTTACATAGGAATTATTCTTTAATAGAATGCAGGCATGGCTTATTCCCCTAATTTCCATTGACTAGTTTTTTGTAAAATTTTTTAAATTTAAGAATGTACTACAGGTATAAAACATTTACAAATTTGGATTTATCCCAGTTTTGAAAATACTCAAGCAATATAATGTAGAACAAAACCATAGGGACCTCACATACCCATCAACCAATGAAATAACAGTAAAAAGCAGTAGATGTAATGGAGGTAATCAGCTGTGAATTTCTATAGGCATTTAGACAAAAAGAGTCCTAAGTGGTGTTCAAACTTTAGAGGAAATAAAAATAAAATTGATCACATTTTTAGCGAGTCCCCTAAATTATTTAGATGCATATATACCCGAGCAACATATTTTGAAAACACTGGCCTAAACTCTAGTCAGGGCATATAATCTCCTCAGCGCAGGTAGAGGAGGCAGGGTGGAATCTCAATTCACTTTCCAGCTGCTCTCAGCACAGGCCATGCCCCTTTGGCTGCTGTCAGAGACATTGCCTTCTTCACTGGCTTCAGCTTCTATCCGTCTATGATTTCTGTTCATGCTCCTCAGGAAGGATCCTCTCTCTAGTTTGAGGGTACTCACCTTGGGAATGTCGGTAACTGATGCGGGGAGGGGGACAGAGAAGTGCTGGGTAAAGAAGGCCGGGGTCCCTGGCGAGAGCTCCACAGTCGGGCCTATGCCCTCAGACCTAAGTGAAAACAGGCACTCCTGTTTTTGCCCCAACGATGCATTTTCCGGGACCACTCTGGCTGCCACGTCCCCCGCATCCTGTGCCCATATACACCTGAGACCTTAGCGGGCACACACACAAGCGGTTGAATGTCGAGAGGAGCAGAGGAACAGAGTGGCAGAGAATGGCAGAGAGCGACGGAGAGTGGTGGAGAGCAGCAGGGCAGCACGGCGGAGAAGGAGGGAAGAGGCGTCTGAACATCAAGAGGAGTTGTGTCCAGAACGGCAGAACTCCAGTGGTAGATTATCCCCACATCCCTCCACCTTCCCGGAACTCCAACTCCCCATCCCTCTGAAAGTCACCTCTACTGTTCAACAAAGTCTCCTCATTCATCACCTTTCAAACAGTTCATATGACCTGATTTGTCCGGGACTCCGGAAAAGAATGGAGGTGGGGAGGTTAACACTCAGCTGTCCTCGGACAGCAAGGCTAAAGGAGCTCACTATAACACATGCCCACTTGGACCCTGGGACCTGTCCGTCTGCGTGCTCCCCCTTCCCTCAGGGCTTTGAGCAGCAGCGAGGGAGGAGACTAAACAGGTGAGCCACACCCCTGCCGCACGTCCCACAAGGGGAATCAGGAAACCTTCCCATTTTATGACCACATGAAAGATGACATAGTCTGCTTCTTCCATGGCTTCCAATACTCGGTGCCAGAATGGCTCTGACTGCAGAGTGGAGAATGTTCCTCCCCTTAATTCCTTACTGGCCTTGATCACCTAGGCTTTGAGTTTGATACTTGCCCTTGAAAGAGTCAACCATTTAAAGAACATAGTTCTGTTCAAAACGAGCACATGTGAGGCACCCCTTCAGGGATTCCCTGGAAAACCTCGCCAGCCTTTTTGAGAGGGATAAGCCTGAAGACCCTCTGGTTGTAGGTAGAGCTGAAATTCTGTGCCATTGATGACAATGTAAGTTTGTTTGGATCCAAAGACTCCATGGGCCCAGAGACCTTTAAACTATATTTAAACAGGGCTGCTGTGTAAAGGTACCCAGAGATACAACTAGACCAGTTGTTTATAACTATGCTTTATAACTATCCTTTTCTGATAGGTAAGTGCTCAATGACTATAATAGATGTTAAATAGTTTAGTATCACTTTTTCCTAGTTTTATTACTTAACAGTTTTGTGTACATGCCTCAGTAACTTGATTAGGAAATGAATTCTTGGAATCCAATAAAATTTCTTTTTCTTTCTTTCTTTTCTTTTCTTTTTTTTTTTTTTTTTTTTTTTTTTTTTTTTGAGACACAGTCTCACTCTATCACCTAGGCTCACTCAGCTCACTGCAACCTCTGCCTCCTGGGTTTAAGCTATTCTCCTGTCTCAGCCTCCCAAGTAGCTGGGATTACAGGTGCCTACCACCACACCTGCTAATTTTTGTATTTTTACTAGAGATAGGGCTTCGCCATGTTGGTCAGGCTGGTCTTGAACTCCTGACCTCAGGTGATCCTCCCCCGTCAGCCTCTCAAAGTGCTGGGATTACAGGCGTGAGCCACCGCACCTGGCCCATATAACAATTTTTTTAATGCTTGGGCTATGCTATGAAAACAGATTATTACTAAGGTACAAAGTGGTGTTCTGGCTGCAGTACCCTGAGTGAGCCATGCTGTTTCACACCTCTGTGCCTTTGCATGTGCTCTCCTTGGACTTCAAAAGTTCACTTCTCTTGAGTCCAAATAGGTGTTATCCATTGCTCAAGTCCAAGCCACTGACTCCTCACCTTGATCTAGATGATTACTTCCTTCTCTTCTCTGCCACTGCATTTTGTACATATTTCAATTATTTTCTACTTGCTAAATTGTTACACACACTGTCTTCACAAGGCTACAACCTCCTCTAGGAGGGAGACTTTTGTAATCCCAGCAGAGTGCTTGCGCATAATAGGTACTCAAGAAATGCTCGCGGCATGAACAAATCTTGTTTTGTGTTTTAAAAACTATCCTTACGAGACATTTCATTAGCAGTTATAAAAACTCACTGAATTTACAATGACTTTGAAATGGTTCCTAGGGTGACAGATATGGTGAATTGGCCCACATCATCCATTCTTCTCTCCTTCTAGTGTTCTTTCATGATCTGCAAAAACTGGAAGAGCTAAAAATCTGTATTACTCAGTCTGCTTTGCAGCTCAGATTCTGGACAGAATTTGTGGCATTTAGGTTTAGTCAATTAAATGTATTTGTATGAAATTTGGAAGATAGAAGTGAGGTGAAGACAATGGATCTTCCATTTCTGCTATGGCTGCCAGCAAGAATGGGCAGGGACGCATTGTGTATTCTGAGGCAGCTATCCCCGTCTGGTTACTAGCTTTCCTGGTGCCAAAGAAAGGGCATCCAGGTGATGCCGGAATGCACCTAGCAGGAGTAGGGCGACTGTTGTGCCAGGTTGCAGTGGAAGTGGCTCATAGGAATTCTGGGATGCTGTTCTGGGGTCATGTCTAAGGTTCAGCCTAGAGCCCCAGCCCTTCTAATGACTGTTAGCATCTATTTCCAAGAATTAAAGCTCTTTTTATTGAAAAAGACCAGTGTACAATTCGGTTTCTGCAAATGAACAAATTACTTTCCTGATTTTCGATACATGAAGTGTTGTAGAACATTGGAAAAGGTTGTCAAAATGAGGGAAAGGAAGGGGGAGGAAAAGACAGAACGGGAAATGTGAAAGAAGAGGAAGGAAAAGGGAAGAAGGGAGTGTGGGAGAGGTGGTAGAGAAGAGAAAAGCAGAGCACATTCCTAGACTTTTTGTTACTATTGTTGTTTGAAGAAATTTTAGGAGAAACATTAATGGTCAAACTGCCTTTTCTGCTAGCATTTAAATATCTACATTATGAGAAATTCCAGAATTTACTGCAAATTTTAATTTTTAAAATTTTTTTATTTATTTTAAGACAGAGTCTCGCTCTGTCACCCATGCTGGAGTGCAGTAGCACAATCTTGGCTCACTGCAACCTCTGCCTCCCGGCTTCAAGTGATTCTCCTGCCTTGGCCTCCCAAGTAGCTGGGTTTACAGGCACACGCCACCATGCCTGGCTAATTTTTTTGTATTTTTAGTAGAGACAGGGTTTCACCATGTTGGCCAGGCTGGTCTCAAACTCGTGACCTCAGGTGATCCACGCACCTTGGCCTCCCAAAGTGCTAGGATTACAGGCATGAGCCACCGCCACCAGCCTGCAAATTTTTACATTAGTCTAACCTTGCGAGACGATGAGAATGTTGTCTTCTTAAATATATTCATGGATCTTTTATTGAAGTGAGCAAAAATCACAGGCTGGGCATGATGCCTCACACCTGTAATCCAAGCACTTTGGGAGACTGAGGTGGGAGGATTGCTTAAGGCCAGGAGTTCAAGACTGGGCAACATAGCAAGATGTCCATCTCTACAAAATAAAAATAAGAATAAAATATTAGCCCAGAGTGGTGATGTGCACTGCACCCATAGTCCCAGCTACTTGGCAGGCTGAGGCAGGTGGATCACTTGAGCCTTGGAGGTCAAGGCTTTAGTGAGCTGTGATTGTGCCACTGCACTCTAGCCTGGGTGACAGAGAGTGACCTTCTCTCTAAAAGTAAAATTAAAATTAAAAATGGAAATAAGAAAATCACTGATATTTGTGCCTGTAGTTCACAAACACTAGCGGCAATTTGAAGAAAGGTGAGTTTAGCAATGATGAGAAACATATTTATGCTGTTTAGAAGATCTCCCACCAGACATAGAACTGAACCGATCAAACAGTATTAAGGTTTCAAAAATTCAGAAATCTTGATCAGCTTTGGC